GCTGTGGCTCAAGTGGTAGGGCACTAGCCTTGAGCTGAAGAGCTGAGGGACAGTGCTCAGGCCCAGAGTTCAGGCCCCACAACTGGACCAAAAAAATAATAATAATAAGAGAGCAAATAATCACACAATTAGTTTATAAGCTGTGTGGTCTTGCATGACCTTTAAATGGAAGGGAAGGGGAGTTAAGCAGAGACAGCACTGAGGCCCAGGGACCCTGATGCCAAAAGAAGCCCAGTCTGACCACAGGAGTTGTTCACAGTGCAGGCCTGCGAATGCAGAGATTTTCTCCTTCCTTTTCCTTCTTTCAAACCCCTGGACATCAAATCATCTAGGAGTAGATTTTCTGTACTCTACAAAGTTACTAAATGAATATTTTTGGCATACAAACATTAAGGTTTACTTTTGTCCCAAGGAAAAGAAAGGTTTTGTTACTTGTGTGGGTTTTTTCCCAGGTATAAATATATTTTGACAACTTCAAAAAAATCTTTCTAGCTGAGGCAGATGCCCCGCGCTGGCCCTTCCTGGGCTAGGTGATTCTTAGGGAAGCAAAGGCAGATTCTGATCATTTGAGTCTCTGAAGAGGTATAAAAGGTTGATGGGCATCCTGAAGGAGAGAGAATTCAGCAAGGTCTGCAGCAATGGCATGCCTTTGATAAGCAAACTAACCACTCTACAGCCTGACCTCTACCTATTTCGGCCTTCCTCATCCCAAAGGCACTGGTTCCAGGCAAAAGGAACCAGTCCTCTAATTTAGAGGCCCTAGAAATTATTCCAACTGGGCCAATCCGCACCTGCTTACCCTAACCTATCTGCCTTGTCTTCCCCTCGACCATGCCAGTAAAGACCACAGCCCAAGCTGTCCTCTATTCCAGTCTTCAGCCTTAAGACCACCTTGATGTTGATCACCCTGTGGTCTTGCATGGCATCCAATATGGAATGTAGTGACCCTCCCTTGAAGATATATAATAAGCTCTCTTCTATTTTCTTCCATAGCCACCCCAAACTGACTATCCTATTCACAATTTGAATAGTATTAACAACTCTTCCTCAAAACTTAAGCATAGGTGAAATTTGGGAAATTATGTAATCACTTAATCACAATTAAAAAAAAAACCCACCAGAAAACTAGAAGTGGCACAAAAAAAAAAAAACTTAAGCATAGGGAGGCAGAGATCAGGAGGATTGGGATTCAAGGCCAATCTAGGCCAAAAAAATGATCCCATCTCCACCAACAAGCTGAGCATGCTGTCCATCCCAAATACACAGGAGACACAAACAGGAAGCCCGCTATCCAGTGTGGCCTAGGCAAAAATATAACACCCTATCCAAAACATAAAAGCAGAAAGATGTTGGGAATATACATAGATTTTGGGGAGACATAATTAAACTCAAAACTATAAGAATCACAATGAAGTATCAAACAACCAGGATGGTCAAGATACATACAAATTAAAAACTGGAAGGGATGCTGGACACTGGGGCTCAGGCCTGTAATCCTACTTACTCAGGAGGCTGAGATCTGAGGATCAGGGTTCAAAGCCAGACTAGGCATTCCCTGAGTCTTATCACCAATTAACCACCAAAAAGCCGGAAGAAGAGCTATAGATCAAGTGGTAGAACACTAGCTAAGAGACAGTGCCCAAGCCCTAAGTTCAAGCCTCAGTAGTGGGTGATATTAGGAAAGATCTAGCAGATGAAAGGAAAGAAAGAAAACAAGAGACCTCATGGGGCTGGGAAATTGGCTCAGTGGTAGAGTGCTTGCCTTGCATGCATGAGGCCCTGGGTTCGAGTCCTCAGCACCACATAAGCAGAAAAAAGCCAGAAGTAGTCCTGTGGCTCAAGTGGTAGGGCACTAGCCTTGACCTGAAGAGCTGAGGGACAGCGCCCAGGCCCAGAGTTCAGCCCCCACAACTGGCAAAAAAAAAAAAGAAAACAAGACATCAAATAGATCCGGTCAGGCTTTAATCAGTCAGCACTAAAGAGGGGCCCCAAGTAACACCAAAGAGAATTGGAGATATAACAGGTACTAAAGGCAAGTGGGGGAAGTCTGGGGTGTAAGTACAGTGGAATAAAGGAGCTGTTGGGTTGTGGACTCATGCAGGGCAGCAGCATGCAACATGCACTTCCAAGTAGGTGGGGTGTAAGTTTTTTTTTTCCCCCAGAACTTTCCCATAGGATGCTGGTGGCTCATGCCCATAATCCCAGCTACATGGAAAGCTTAGAATGGGACTCTATTCTTTCAAGGCAGTCCAGACAGAAAAGTTGGTGAGACTTTATATCAACACATAGCTGGTATGGTGATATGTAACTGTCATCCTAAATTGTGTGGGAGGTTGAAACTGGGAGGATTGTAGCTCCAGGCCAGCCAGGGCAGAAAATTTTTGTGTGCACCAACCCTGGGGCTTGAACTCAGGGCCTAGGCACTGTCCCTGAGCTATTTTGCTCAAGGCTAGCACTCTACCACTTGAGTCAGTGCTCCACTTCCAGCTTTTGATGGTAAATTGGAGATGAGTCACGGATTTGAACTGTGATCCTCAGCTCTCAGTCTCTTGAGTAGCTAGAATTACAGGTTTGAGCCCCTGGCATGCAGCCAAAAAGTTTTGAGATTCCATTGCAACAGAGGGAAACTACATGAAGTAATCTGTGCCTGTGGTCCCAGTAATGATGGAAAGCCTAAGCTAGATGGATTTAGAACCAGGTGTGGATTCAGGTGGGAAGCAAGGCCCTATCTCAAAAATTACTAGCAAAACCTTGCCCATGTAATTGTAACCCCTCTGTACAGTATTTTCACAATAAAAAAAATTATGAGCAAAAAACAGGCCTGAAGGCTGGGATCAGCAGTAAAGGGTATGCATAGCAAGCACAAGACTCTTAAGTTCAAACCTCAATACTTAACCCCCCCCAAAAAAAAGGAGTTCAAAGCTAGTTTGGGCTCCATAGCAAGACTCAAGTAAATAAACATTACAATATTGAACTATAAGTGAAACAGGTGTATGCTGAGCTACCAGGTGGGTAGTATATACTAAGTGGGCCCACTGGACAGAAGGATGATTACTTCTGAGGGGAGGAAAAGAGCAGAATGGTGCAAGGTCTCATTATGCTACTCAGAACTTTGCACAAACTAAAACTGAAGAATTGCTAAGTCCAGAATAGTAATACACATAGTCCCAGCAACTCTAGAGATGAGGTGAGACATTTACTGGAGCCCATCAGTTTGAGACCGGCCTGGCAA